AAGTTGGATGTTAAAACTTCACAGTCCATAAATTCCGATTTCCTATCCTTCTCATCCTTTCGCTTTTATGGAGGATCCTGAGGGCTGTAATGGGATAAAATTGTGATTTTTAGTCTGTCTTCTGCAAAGATCTTTTTTGTTGTCTTTTAACCGAATTTTGTGCAATTCTTCTTTTGTTTCGTACTGTAATAAATACATAAAGGAAGACATCGGTTTCTATTCTGTCGCAGAGGCCCGTGCATCCTTTTTGTGGCATATAAAAAGAAGTTCGTTTAAATGAAATGGTCGTAAGGCTTTGAAGGGACAACCCTTTGTGACGTTTCCTGCGGTTCTGAGCACGTGTCGGCTACGTGTGTTGTGCAACCACGCATGTTCGTCTGAAATCGATCATTGAAATATTCATCTTTTGTTTTTTCATCAGTACCATCATAATTATGCGTTAAGTTCCAGGCTTTGCAAATCATTTCCATGTAGTACATGCATGAACACGTGGAGTTCAGACCACCTCCCCATACACTTTCATGACGTGGAACACAGTACCTTTGCCTTTGTAATGTCCAAGGTTCTCATAGATGTGGACATGAAGACTTTTATCTCCTGGTACATAACGCAGTGTAGTCCGATGAAAGTCGACCGATGTTTCGGGAGAACATAACACCTCCATCTTCAGGGGCGAAGGTTAAGCCAAACTAGAAACCTCTATGAAGCAGGCGATGAGCAGACTCTGAAGACTAAGGTAGGCCGCACACGGCATGCATCAAGACATGTAATAGTCAAGACACGATGTCTGCGACATGACGCAAAGGAAGCAGAACAGTTAAAACGAATGAGATTGTGAAAACCGCCGCACACCGGTCTGAGTCATGATGCTGACGTCATCTTCATGCTGACGAATCACGAATGAAGCAAGACTGAGACTTTTGTTTCAAGTCTTGATGCTTGTCTTGACGCAGTTGGTGTGCGGCCGCCCTAAGGCCACGTGATACTCCAAAATAACGATTTACTCCTACCGGAGTACAAGGCGTTGTATCCAGGTCTTCGTTATCTTAAAGGGATCTTGCCTTAATACAGTACGTTGAAGAAATGCGATCTGTATTTGTGGACTAGATTTATCTGACGTACAGCACTGTCCATTGTCAGGCTGGGTTTGCAACTGGTATGGTTACTTTTTATGACATATTTTGAGGAGATTTACTTTGCTTTTTAACCAGAAGGATGTAAGTCATGAGCCCTGGGAATACACAGTTCTCTGAATATGTTCACAATTCTCGGTGGAAGTAAATTGTTTGTATATAAGGGACCAACTATTTGTCCCCTGGAGATAAGAACTCCCAGATTAAAATCCGACAGGGAGAAATGTGCACCAAACGGAATACATATTTACCCCAAAACTGGACATACGCTCTCTGAGCCCAGCATAACTGAACGTATGAATGTAAACACGATATATACTGCATTGGAAAGTATATTCAGTGTTGTCCGTTGTGAGGCCAGAGCTCCGTCCCTACGTCTAAGATCTACCAGCCGCGTAACATCGCTCACTCGCGATGTCACAGTGCATCTTTACGGCGGCCTTCAGCTGGGCCACGGGGGACAGCCTGCGTATCTCAGGAGGCTTTGCCCGGTAGTACCAGGAGCGTTGGTGAAGCGGTAAATCCATAGGCTTTTATTCGGAAGGTGTTTGATTCGAAGCTCGACCAGGCATTCGCTATCTTGATTAAGATTTTATATAGATTTGCTCCGTTCCTTTCGAAATAATTTATTTGTTAATGTTTATTATTTACGTAATGGTAGAGGGGATTCAGTCATGGAAGTTCTTATCAGTTATTATAAAAATTCGAATTATTCTAGAAGGTACATGCGTATGATCTTATGCCTCTCATTTGTAATCTTTTTATTTGTGCGGTAGAATTACCACTCACTCACTGATGGAGCTGAGCACTTCTTGAGAAGCCGCCAATTCTGCAGCTACTCAAGAATTTACCAGTATTTTATGGAACTCGAAGGTTCATTACCGTGTTCACAAGTGCCCACCACTGGCCCCTATCCTGAGCCAGATAAATCCAATTCATACCATCCCATCCTATCTCTCTAGTTAGTTATTGGAGAGGGTGGGTTTCCCCATGCACTGAGACCAGTATTGGTCCATTGTGCTTCCCTCTATGATATTCTACCAGTCTCTATACCCTACCGATATTGGTGCGTACCATCAGTCCCGACCGAGCCAGCGAGTTCGGCCTCTACTAGCTTGGCGGTATCTATAATGCTTCCCCCATCTATCAGAGGCGTTAGAGACTACTGTTGGGCGGAAAATGTCCTTGAATTTAGCTCAGTGACCTCCTTTGGAGATATGATGTTCTTTTACGTGCCGTAAAGCTACGACACGGGACTCACGGCTTAAAGTCCCTCCCGGAGGGCTTGTTCCCTGAATTTTTCCGCCCTTAAAAATTCCACGACCTTCGCCGGGTTTGAACCCGCGTACCACGAGTCATGAGGTGAGAACGTTACCTCTAGACTACGGAGGTCGCTATCCTATCTCTCTAAGATCCATTTTAATATTGTTCACCCACCTACACCTTTGTCTTCCCAGTGATCTCTTTCCTTCTGGCTTTCCCACCAATATCCTATATACATTCCTCTTCTGCCCCATAAATAAGTAAAGCAAAGGTATCCCTGTAAGAGGCCATGAAGGCC